ACCAGATCTCGTTAAATGATTGTAAACATCACTTGCGATGCGTTCGAATGAAAAAGAGCTTAGAATGTGCTATAAAATTACATAAAAAAAAACCTAAAAATCGAATATAAATCGAAATGTGAATACTCTGTCGCATGCTTGCACATAAATTGTTATTAAGTAATAATTTTAAGTCCACACAGAAAACTTAATATATTTGTTCATTTTTGCAATATAATTTTGATGTTATTAATATTTATGACATATATGTATATCTATATGTATATGCGCATTTTATGCAGCATTTTTGCAATTTCTACTTTCAAGAAAATTAAATCATAATTATAATTTTTGGAAAAAATGTGAAAGCATAATTTTAACTTTTTGCATGAAAGTATGATAGCAGGATTAATTTTTCAGTTGGTATAGCAAAATCTGTCAAGCAATATATTTCCAGGAAAATTGCTAACGAAATAAAAGTAAGATTATCATTTATCTATACAATATTTGCCGAAGCGTGTGACAGCTGTATTTTGAGGTAATGTGTTTAGTGTATTATCGATAACTGCGTGTCATGCTACAAATTATGCGAATGTAATTTATAACGCCGCATAAGCGGCGTTATGAATTATCGAATACGTCGATGTGTGTGCACCCATATATATAATTCCCGGTTACACAAATTAATATACCGAATGCAAATGAGAGGGTGTTATAGCATCTCGCTTGGTAATTTAACTTGGCCCGCATGAATTGTAGGGTTTCTCCGAATAAATCGGTTCGCCTAGCTGCGAACGGATGTTAGGGGATGCGGAAATGCAAGACCGGAATTGTGAAATTCGCCAAGCTGCGAAAACGATTCGCGTCACTTGTCAAGCGTGCGCGAACGCAACTTGGCTTAGTTCCCTCGATCTCCCGTAGCGTTTTGCTTTCGGGAGATCAGGTGTAGCTGGCAGCGAGATTGTATGTACATACATGCACCATATGGCTTACGTATAGTCGTCGCTATTCGTGCGCGAATCAGAATCCTGTCTTCGTGTCGTCTTTGCATTAAATTTCTCCCTGATACCTCGGCAACGACCGAGTCGCTCGCTCGCTGCAAAATTCCGTAACGTTTTGTAGGAAACCATATGTAAGGATGATCGAAGCTCAGGGAAAAGAAAAGAGAAATGTAGAAGCGAGTGATACCTAGGAAACACTATTGTTTCTTCGGAAGAGCATTATCGACTTATTCCGTCGAGGAGAATGTAAAACGGAATCGTTGCCAACTGTTTGCATGGATATTCAAGACAAGTACACTTCTCTGAGGATACGAGAATACCGTATAAGACGTTAAGAGTAACAACTTTTTGCTTAAACCGAAGAGAAAAATCTTTTTCACCGGCTCGGATTTCTAAGGAACGAAACGCGCGAATTTAATTGACAACGCTCGTTTCATCAGGTTTTATACAGCTGGTCGTAACTCGTTAATTATTCACGGTGCGCTATTAATCGAATTTCGTACATAGTTATCTCGCGAGTCAGCTGTCAGATAGAGATGGAAATATCGCGTTTTATGCGACGTTGGGCGGCGAATCAAATCGCGAACTTTTAATTTCCGCCCGTCGTCGACACGGCGGCCCGACAGTAATAGCACGGAAACAATGCGACACGAGAGACGAAGATATCTCATCCACGGAAATACGAGCTCCTGGTCTCCTTAAAGCCGAACATTCGCGAACAATCGAAACGAAACACGACCGCGGAATTTATAAAAAAAAGCTGTGCATCATGTATATTGCAACATATGCATATATCGGCGACCCGAAAATATTTTATATTTAGGCAAAACGAGATCGGCGGCTAGTCTGATTAAAACGTTGTCGGCCACTTTATTAATTCAGCGTCTCGCTCGTCCGGTTATATATATGTATCGACGCAATCGAAATACATGGAGCTATTTTCGATGTTTACAAGGTTCGAATATTCAACTAGGATAGCTCGACCATTCTGCCGGATTACGTAGAATAAGTCGAGCTTAAAGCGCCTCTTATATCCAGATTCTTCCTCTCTTTTTCTCATGCGTATGTATATACATTTTTCTCGTACATATTTTTATATAATATGCCGAGCTGTGTAATATACGTTCCACATTGATTAGCAGCGCACACAGAAGCGGTAAACAGAATGGACAATAGGCATGGTCACTTCGTGGTGAGGGTAGTGTGGTAAGCAGGCTGGCCGCTATTGATTATCGAAATTTATAGGTGCTATAATGCAACAAATATTTGCAATCTTGCTATTGCAGGAGCTGCAACAGGCAACCCTGCTAATAAATATATTTGCATAAGCCAGCGAGTATCGGCGGCATTTAAACTGAAACGTCGTTGTCGCGAATCTCGCTCGCGAATATAAGAAGTGTCCTATGCGTCGCATGTGGTCCATGGCAGACGGTCACATCTCGCTGATCCGCGCGTATCGTTTCGTACAAGTCGGCAAAAGCTATTTCCCCGTGATCCGACCACCCGAGGAGATTGAACCGTTCCACGGTCTATATTTAACAAGACAGCTGCTCCTCGCAAACAGCCAACCGGATCGATATATGTGTAATACGGTACGTCCCGTGCAGTCGGTTTCTTCCACCCTCTTCTCCAGTCCTTCATCTTGTCCTCGATATCGGACTCGAGCTCAAACTTCTTCCGTTTGGTTACGCGCAAAAAAACCGTCGAACACCATCGTTCGAGGGTGTGACAAGTCTCGGTACAAGTTTCGTAGAGTTCTCGAGATACGAGGATTCCCCAGATATTCATTATCCATGACCAGATGGTTTCTGCAGTGTTGACGTGAGGACAGTGAGGACTCGTTCTGCGAACGGTTCGTTTTCGCGACATACGAATATTTCATGAGAATATTTCGTGTCGAAATAAGGACCCGCGTGTCACGTTTGAGACGACGATTGCTCGTCGATGAGATCGTTGATTTGTCGATCCTCGGATGTATTTGTGAGAACGTATCTTTCAAAGAAAATCTTTTTTTTTTTTAATCGCTCATGACGAAAAAATCAACTTAGAGTTCTTCCTGTATTTTCAAGATTTTTACAAACACTCAACTTTAGGAAATGAGATAAAACCCCCTGTGCATAAAGAGTTCCCGTCAAGTTTTGAATAACATTTGCACATTAAAGCAATTGCGTGTAATATGTGAAATAATAATCGCCATAATTTTTACACATCTATTAAAACGCTAATATACTTGATACCGCAAACAATTTTTATTTCACGAAAGGAATTCACGATGAGAGCAAATTTAAAGGCAGTTTTTGCTCGCTGAAATTGAGGATTTACTTTGTACATTCCCTACGCGCGAGTAATACCTTCCACGCGTGAAATGGAATTTATTAGTCACAAAGTAAACGAGTTTGCATAAAACGAGATTCTTTAATTCCGTTTCGTTAGCTACGCGACGTATTTCGTGCCATGCTGTAGTTAAAGCGCCGGTCGCGCATAAAGGTATTATTGCGCTCGTAAAAAGCGCAGTTATAGCCAGTTTCTATGCTTGTTCGTTCTCGAGTTCACGTATCTCATCTGGCGAAAATGTAAGACGGGCCGCGATAAAACGATGAAAGGGAGACGATCGAGGGGCGCGACGAAGACAATTATTTTGCCGAAATGCGCTTTTTCGAAACCGAAAAAGCAAGCTTTATATAGCTGCATGGGATTGAATCCCTTTCTCGCGTAAACGTGCGCGTTACGGTTTTTGCGTTTCCCTTCGACGGTAGATTCTTGCTCGCGCTTTACGACTTCCAACCCATCTCCATTTCGCCGTGAGAAAAGTCAGCCTCCCTGCGCACTCTCTGGATTCGTTATTTTTCTTTGCTTCGTTTATGCGGTTTATCTTGTCGCGCGAGTGACGTTTTTTTATGACTTTTCTCTCGCGAAACTTTCTTGCTAAATGCCTATACTTTAATACAGAAAACGAAGCGGTAAAGTGGAATTAAGATCTGCGACTGTTTCGGAAACTTTTCTAATATATTTGAAGTACATCTTTTCCCGCTACATGTTTACCGTATTTTTTCCTGCCTTAACGTTGCATTTTGGCTTTCATTTCAGAGCTCATTCTTATTTCTTATGCAATTATTCGATTTATTATCGTGATCTTTATTTTGGGGACAAAAAATTGTTTAATTGTGAGAAGAGTTAATCGGCAAAAAAGTTTTAAAAGTTCCTAAGCTTGTTGAAGCGAACGAGGTAATAAATTATCTCGGTGTCGGTAATAAAAAGCGAAGAGAACTAAGAGATCGTCGGGGAACGCGGTAAGAAAAGCAATCGCCAATGACGCCAAATCAAGTTTGCCACTCAACGATATAAATAATGCAATACGGTTGACAGGTTCATAGTTGAACACTCGCGGCATCTGCGAAAACTTTTTCAGCAGGAGCTCCGGAAAGTGTTCATTAGCTCCAAAATTTGCCGGGATAAGATCTTAACTCGTAATAAACGCGTATCGGCAATAAATATAAAACAAGACGCGATATATCAACGCGAGTTATATCGTGCATATTGACAATTTTTGATTTTTATATTTCATTAAAATTTAGGCATATGTCAAACGTTTGTGAACGCGAATTTTGCGAAGAGTAAGCAAGTTACTCGCACAATTGATAGCTTTTGCGAGCCGGCAAGAATTTATCAAGCAGAATCGAATGAGAGACGTAAACGAGATCGCGCTAGGTTTCGCCATACGCGATCGCGTAATAATTGCTTCGAAATAGAAATCATAGCGCACAAATCCGATGTGACACGAGTAATACGATTACCGATGGAGTTGCGAGCTTTCAATGAATGCATTCAAACTATACGATAAAGAGACTAATTGGGGGCCTGTGCTCTATTCGCTTTCGATGCTATATCTTTTACGATGCTGCGAAACGCACTTATAGCTTACAAAAAATTTTTGTTATTTCGAACGTGTCGCTTTTTTTAATATCAAAGAGTAATAAATAACGACACGAATAACATTCAACGAGAAGCACTTAATTACCTGCTCGATGCTATGCTCCCGGCCTCGATGCCCATGGATGAAGTAGTTAACGAATTCAGTGTTTTCCGACTTCTCCAGTAGTTCCGTTGATAGTAGTTTGTTAAACTGCGCGGCCTGTTTGAAACAAATAACATGATTAGGCAAGTCGGGAAAAAGCCGGATAATAATAATTATTATAGTAAAATGTTCACCCCACGTTTGTGCGTACCATCCCAAGGAAGCAGAGTACATGCTACGCCATAATTAACATGCGCATTCATTATCACAATAGAAGTTTATATTAAGACAGGTCTGAGAAAATTAAATAAAACGTACCATTTTGCGTGCGTAGAAAAATTTCTCTCGTTTAAGAAACGTTTACTATGCACTGCGTAAATATGAAATATGAGAAATGAGGAAAACGTTAAGATTAAAAAAGATGTAAAAATAATAACGTGTATTTTTGGAATATGTGTGTTGTCTCACACGTACACATAAATCATCATGTTGCCGCTTGTGCATATGAAAATAAAAGATTCTACAGCAGATTTTAAGAATTTCGCAATTACTTCCCGAAGAAATGTTTAGGTCATTTAACGGCACGTATCAATTTATACACGGCGCAATTTTTGAAATGGCTATTTTTTCATTTTATCCATTAGATAATTCTATTGATCTCGATTAACGTCATCAATAATGTCGCTAAAATAAAATAAAATTCCTCTCCCTCTAATAATTTACAGGCATAAAGAACAATTGGTGAAGAACTGCTGTAAAGTCGTTCCCGATACCACGATTTCTTCCGTTACCTTATCGTGACCCTTCGCTTTCTTTCGATCAATCGGACTCGTTATCGTCAAAAAAGGAGAATCAGGAGCGGCTTGTAAAAGCTCACTCGGCGCGATAACAGAATTTACTATCAGCGAATCGAGGGGAGTCGCTACTCAACAAGTTGGTCTCGTCGAAGGGCAGATAGGTGGGTAGGTAGATGGCTTTTGCTCGGTGACGGGGCGCGAAATACGGAAATTGTGCTACCGAACAAAGAGAGGGAAAGTCGAAGAGAAGGTGGGAATTGGGGAAAGTTCGCTTGGCGAAGCGTCGACGAAAAAGGTGATATTTTATCGAACGTCGCCGGTATTATTTGGTTTTACGCCGATATTTTACCGAGGACCGCCGCGCGCCAAACTCTCCGCTCTGTTATCTGCACCGCCGGCAAACGTTCTCATACGAAATGTTTTTACATATTTTTCTCCTCACCTCTTCCTCTTCCTGATCGTCCCAAACCGCGGAATTTATCCGCGCCAGCCAATTTACATGCCCAACCATTCTCGGGACGCGCGTCGTTAGCCAATCTCGCTATTGATGATCCCGCATTTTTCGAAGGATGGAATAAAAAAAAAAGAGAAAAATATCCTATCGCTATGAGAGCTCGCACAATCGTTTTTAGCCTCCGATAAAAAACGACAATTAAGAAGAAAATTAAAAAAGTTTTTTAAGTACATTAATGCAATAAATAAATGAGTCGGTATCTTTAAGTACGTTACGAATAAGGTTTAAAAATTTTTTCGTTATAGATAATTAATTGGCGCTGTGAATACACGCTATTCTCATAGAAAAATATTACCGAAAGAAAGAGAAATACAAAAACTGTCGAATGATAAATATTAATACTTTATGAGATTTTTCTAAAGAACGAATAAAGTACCGAATTTAATTTTTCAGTCGTGGAAGTGCGAATATCGTAATAGTAGTTAGAGTAAATGTTTGCACTGGCACTGGAGCCGAAATTTCCATTCCGTTTGCATGGAGTTATTCGTGAATGAAAAAAGAAGAGCGCGTGCGACTTTGATGATCTCCTTCTCGAGAGTTATAAAGTCCTTAAATAAAGTTAATTCTCCATGATTGTTGGTTAATCGGAAACATTATGGACTCGCACGTGAATTTTCTTTATCGAAGGAACAAAAAAAGAAATTTCGAATAATAAACGTAATATTATAAATATTTAAATAGATTTATTTTTAGATAGATAGCGTGCGTGTGTGTAATGCATATAATATTGTAGATATTTTAAATAAATTCAATGATGTGCGAGATTCTTTAATTTTTCGATATAATTAAGTTAATTAAATATTCGAACAAAAAAGATATATTCATGGTTTATTGTCGGTATTTTAATTCGAAAATTTTAATTACTAATCATATCAATAAATCATGAATGACGCAAAATTGGTGGACTTTTGAGTCGTCAAAGCTCTCTCAATTTTTATTTTCCATTTGAGATTTTTCTTATTTATCTTTCGCGTATTCTTCGCGTGATCGTCACGAGCGCGTTTTATGCAGACCGCTTTGTTTACAGGTAATAACAAATAATTTCTGTTTCGGGAAAACCCACGTTCACGTTCTGTAAAAGCTCGCTGAGTGCTGGGCGTATATCGCGTCTGTTTTTACCTCGTTGCCGAGGTGTGCGGCAGCGTTTTAGCCAGCGCCAGAGCCCGAATGCCTCGGCACGTGATTCTTTATAACTTCGATTTTTCGTTTACGGATTTCCGCGATAAATGTTTGCTAGGGAATTTAATTTCCAGAATTGCGTTATCGAGTGAAACAGCAATAAATGCATATTTCAAAGATAAATTCTCTCGCGATTGATTATAGACAAGAAAAGAAAATATTAAATAAGATATTAAATGTACTATCAAATTATAAACATGTTATGTAAAAAACTTTATCTTAAAAAAACGTTATTTTGAAACATAATATTAATATTATTAAGATTATTTTTCTCTGGAAAGTAATAAGAAAACACTAATTTGACAAGAGATTAAAATATATGTTGTACTAAGAAATTAATATTAATATTATAGATGACATTAATTTAGATTAATCAAGATTAAGATCAATTATTTGTAACAATTGTACATATTTACACGAAAAAATTATGATAAAAATCTGAAATAAATTATTCTATAAGAAAATCTCTTTCTCTCTCTCTCTCTCTCTCTCTCTCTCTCTCTCTCTCTCTCTCTCTCTCTCTCTCTTTCTCATATTTCAGAATCGATTCTTTCCTCGGCAAAGAACGACGTCAGTTTCATATCAGGGGTAAACTGCCGGTTTTGAGCCATCGTCGGTATTGGTCGAGTACTTTGAAGGATGGTTCTCATGAGGTATAAGTTATCTCGGTTGATTGGGTGCACAAGCTGAATATACGTAGGGTTGGTTCTGGTTATAATGCTTCACTCATTTCTCGTCTGATACGGATATATCAAAGCGATAAATTACATATTTTCGAGACCAACCTCGCCCTTAATTTATCTTAAAGCTATCAATATATTCTGTTATAAATATATATTCTGTTATAAACCGAAACCAGTAATTTTTGTCTACAAAATTAGCAACAACGTGAGAAAAACATTGAAAATAACATAGAATTAAATAATCCACCAACAGTTGGTTACTTTTTTTAAACAAATAGAAAGTCGCGCAAATTTTTTAACTTCAGTTTAATCGCATGACTCGCGTCAGCTTAATGCAATTATTAAATTTAAATTTGACGAACGTATTTACTAAGCGTTATTTTCGTAATTGTTGAATCGGTGCAAAACGCGGATGCGAGTCACCGGGCGAATATCGAAATAAGTCGAGCGCGTTGCGCAAGGGAAACGTCACTTTCAGGCGGAAGTGACGCGAACGTTCGCTACGCGCTCGCGACGTTGTGTATTTTTCATTCGTCGAATATGTACATAACAATCAGGACGTACGCGTTTCCCGCCGGCTAAATAACGCCGGTTCGTTACGTCGCGCGTCGCCCAAGAGGAGAGCGGAAGCGGTCGCACAAGCGACACACAAGCGACGGCGCTTAATGTTTTAAAAGTTAAATCGGGCCACATGCCGCTCCGTTCTCGCGCTGCGGCGATCCGACACGACGTGACGCGCGGCCAAACGACCGCGTAGAATTCAATATCTGGCCGGGCCGGGCCGGGCCAAACACGCGGCTCGAATTGAACGAACGCCGCCTCGTTTTTCGATGCATTGCAAATGCGGCCATGAATCTGTTAAACTATTGGTAGACGGTGGACGGTCGCGCCGGGTACAGCACGGTCGACGTGTCCATCGAGGCGTCCCCGGGGGGGTGGATGCGTGTAGACCGGAAAAAAGGGCCGACGTTTTCCTCCCCTGCTCACCCTTCTCATCTACCCGCTCCAACCGGCAGTCGTTGGCGTCGCTCGTTCAGTTATATACAAGCCGGTAAATAAACAAGCGCGCGGCCATCCTAGCGATTAAAATCGTGCCGTAGGGCGAGCGCCTTGCGCCAACCTCGCGAAATTCCCGTAAATCGTTAGTAAAGTCCGGAAATCGCTCTGCGAGTAAGGTGTCGGGGTCTTTTGACGAAGGCGAAATAGAAAAGGGAAAAGGGAGAAAAGAGAAAAAGAAAGAAAGAGAGAAACAAAGAGCACGATGCTTCGCACCTGAATGCTCGTTTACGCGTCCGAGGGGAATCTTTTAGTTTTCGGGATGTGAATTTTCCATTACCGATACAACGGAATGTACGTTACACCGAAAGTAAAATATGCACTCTCTCTCTCTCCTTGTTTCTTGTTAATCCATCCAAAAAATGCGCCATTTTCCTCATTTTGTTCTCTTTTTTTTCGTGCTTTTAGTGTCGAGTAACTCTTTAGTTCAACTCCATATTCGGAGTAACAAAACGCGGGAGACGATTAAATCACGGCAACGTGGAGAGGCCACTCTCGCGAAATATTTCAGCATACCGTATCTACGCGAGAACTGTTTCTCGCACATCCGCGAAATACAGCCTCCACTAGGGGATGCGCAAACTTAGGGGCGGCACGGACCAAGTATCGCACTTTTACGGCCGTCGCTCGGGCCAAGTCGAGCCACGTTAATTGCTTTCGAAATTACGGGGCGCCACGGCTGGCTGTACGCTTGTTTGAAGTTTACGCCGATCTCTTGCCTAGGATACGCGTCCACGCTTTGAACAGTCGAGTACAGTCGAGTTTTGCGCGAATTAAACGGTGAATTTATATTCGCGCATTAATGGTGGTAAAGAAGAAATCGTTCGCGTGAATTAATTGCCCGTGCTATTTACGCAAGTTTACAAAATGATGAGCGTTCGCGAGCGT